CTATCCTAGAGTTGAGAATTCAGACAGATGTTTATTCGGGCCAAGCACGAATAGGCCCAAACCCGAACAGGCCCGCTATCTTTATAAGCCCGAATTAACAAGCCCGGCCCGAATACCCGCATTGTATCTCTTTTTTTTGGTTGCGATTTTGATGATTTTTTTTATCTAATTACATCAAAGTAATAATTCAACATGCATTGATACTATTTTTTTTAACCATCCAAGCTAATAAAACAAGTTCTCCATACTAGTTTGACATCTAAAATAAATAATCCAACAAAATAACAACACATTCAACATGGCATTAAAGTTAAAACATAATAATAATCAACAATCCAAATCAAAGTTAAACCAAATCCTAATCCTGTGGCTCTTCTTATTAATCATCACTATTTAAAACTATACTTGTACTTTCAATAGTAGACAAATCCATATGTAGATTAGGTTCAAGTGATTCATCCTCTTTCTATCTCCCTCCTTCTTCCTCTTACACTACCTCTTCTCCCTCAATCTTCCCTTTTTCTTCACTATCTGCAACATGTCAATAAAGAAAAGATTTTTAAATTATAATTGAATGAAATCAAATTTTACTTAATAATTATCCAACAAAATAATTATATATTTAAAATTTATATTACCATCATATTGAAAACCACTTAACCAATTACAAGTGCAAGTAAGAGTTTGAAAATTAAAAGGAAGAATACTGCTTTGATATTTAGTAAGAACACATGAACCAATGCTAAAAGCTGATTCACTTGCTACTGTAGTGATAGGAATGTTAAATATATTAGCTGCCATCTTTGAAAAGATAGGAAATCTACCCTTATTAATGTTCCACCAATTGAGCACGTCTAAATCTCAATACACTTGGGGTTGAAGTATTGCCTCATCCAAATAAAATTTTAACTCAAACTTTCTAACAGACATAACATCCATGCTTGTATAATTAATCCAATCTTACAACATGTAAAAAATTAATAAAATACCAACTAATAAATTAAATTAAAACAATAAGATTAATGGTAACATAAAATTAAACTTACATCTAAAACCCTAGGAACATTGCTAGTCATGCTTGAAGCTGAACACTAGAAGTAGTGGAGGATTGAACTTGATTTGCTTATATTAGAATTGTTGAACTTGATCCAAGATCAGAGGAAAAAGCATTCATCTCTTTATATTGATTAAAAATATATTTTAGCTTGCTTTGAATACTTCTAATCTTGGCAGGGCAATTTATAAGATCAACCTTGCATACATGTACTGTATTATTTGAATTTTCATTCGTGGATCAAGCATAGCTGCAATCGCAAGGATAATACTATAATCATTCCAATATTTGTCAAACTTATCTTTCATTCTTTGAGCCATTTCTTGTATCATAGAATCATCATTTACCATATTATCATCTAACAAGATCTGAATTTTTGATACTTAAGCAAAATACAAGTTCAATGTCAGATAAGATGTCCTAAACATTAACCTTGTTATAACATCAAATGGCCTCAAGAAATTATACGTCTCTTCTCCTCTCCTCCACTTTTCATATGTTGAGCAATGAATGAAATTATTTTCAACACATGCAAAGCTAGTAAAAGCTCAATGGTATTGTAATCCACTTTCAAGCATTGCAAAAGTAAAATTTCATGTAATAGGCATATCCATCCTCAAGCCAATTGAACTATCAATGCCACCAACCTATTCAACACATTTTTTGAAAGCAATTGTCCTTGCCTCTGATTGTTTGACATATTTAATGCTATCTCTAATTTTGTTTAAAGCATCACATGTCACTTTTAAGCCCTCTTGAACTATTAAATTTAAGATATGGGCACAAAATCTTTGATGAAAAAATTCTCCATTACAATCAAGCCATTATTTTGCAAAGCTAACCTTTGTTTCAAAATTTCTTGCACTTTATCATTTGCAAAGGCATTATCTAAAGTGATATAAAATACTTTCTTAATAATCCCCCAATCAATCAAACAATCATACACTTTCCTAGCTAGTTCTTTTCCAGAATGTGGAGGCTCCATCTTACAAAATGAAAGTATTTTACTATTTAATTTTTAATTTTCATCAACAAAATAAGTAGTTAAGTACAAATAACATTCAAAGATTATAGCAGTCCAATAATCAGATGTTAAACAAATTCTTCCAATACTTTTCAACAATTTTTGCTTCAACACTTCTTTATTCCTTTGATAGACTTTTGTAACATCAGACACAGCTGTTTTTTGAGTAACGCTTTACACTAGGATTCAACATGAAAGAATAATACTTGAACCATTTATATTCAACCATGAAATAAGGCATATCATGTTCAATTATCATCATAGATATAATGTTTCTCATACTTATATCATTAAGTTTTCTAGACCTCAATTTTTCTTCTTTGTCCATCATCATCATCCCAATACCATGATACTTAGCAAGTTATGGACAATTTTTAGCATGTCGTGTTAAATGAGATGTGCCATCAATCCTAGATCCTGCTAAGTCTTTTTTACAATCATTACATCTTGCTTTTATTTTTCCATCAACTACAATTCTAGAAAAAGACTTTCAAACAACAGACGTACAAGTTTTTTATTTTTTTAGAAACAGGTGGCTTCCTTTCTTTCTCAGAACTTGTTACTTTTACTAGAATTACCAAAACTAACAGATTTCTTACTTGCAGAGGCAACTAATTTAATCACAGAGGCAAGTAATTTGTTTTCATTATTCTTTTGAGAGGGAGGCATATCAGTTACCTTACCCTTGCCACGTACATTGTCATCTACCTTACTACTAGAACTACCACCACATTTTCATTAGGTTTTTTCCTTTGACTAGAAGACATATTTCGCTACATAGAATTGAAAATTAAAGATCAATTTGAATATACTATGCCTTAATTACAAGTTATAGCTAAGGCTAAAGCACTTTAATTCCATATGACAACACAACTACATCAAAATACAAGAGAGGCAGAGTTAAAGAGACTTGAATATACTTATAAGAGAATTTAAAGGTTAAAATCTGTTCACTAAGAACCAGCTATCAGAAAAATCAATTAGATTCAACTATCTAAACAGAGCAGAGATCGGAACATCAATCAAAGATAGAGACAGAGATTGAAACAAAGCACTAAAAGTAGACATTTCACAAATTAAATTCAGACTCCATAAGTTTGATTCAACCTTTCAAACCTTCAGACAGTGCGTATGAGAGAAAAAGAAAGAAGAAGAAGAAAGCCTGAGCTCGTTCAAGCCGATGTCGTAGCATGGGTTCTAGTTTTTTGGACAAACCTTGTTTTGGCAGTAGGTTATAGACGGAGCTTGTTCTGCGTTCTCGATGGAGCTCATTCTAGTAGTGGGTTTTGGTTTTGAGGATAACGAGTCTGAGATTGTGAAGTGCAAGAGAGAGTTGCTTGTTTATCAGCGAGGGAGATTGCAAAAGTGCAAGAGAAATTGAGAAAGTAAAGACTAAAAGCCAACAAAAATGAAGTCTGAAGCATGGATCAGTTTAGAGTGAGAAGAATGGACTTCTGGTTCTGGAGATGGCTGATGTAATGACGATGACGTTGGCTGAATGAGTCAAAGGCTTTAGGGTTTCACTTTTTTGAATGCTGATTAGTTGATGAATGAGAATGACTTAACCGCACAAGATAAACACAAGACAAGATGCAGCCATGCAGATGTAGGGCAGAGGCAGCCATCTTTTTTTAAAATTAAAAAATATACAAATGGGTATTCGAGTCAAGCCTGTTCGAGCTTGGCCTGAATTTTTTCAGCCTTATTCAAGTTACCTGAATTGGCTCGGAGTATCAATTTTTTTTTTACAAAATGTTAAGCTTGGCCTAAACTTTTTTCAGGCTTATTCAGGTTGGTCCGTCAAGCTCGACCCGAATTATCAGCTCTATCCCATCCTCTAGTCTCATTGTCAATTGAGCTTCATCATAAACGACCCTAACGACATTGACAACATTGACGTTGACTCCAGCTACTGGCCTTTCCTCCACCTGTGTCTATATATAATAAGATAACTCTTCACATCCATAAATTACAACGGTAATAACTTGAGAAAAATAATTTCTAAAAAATAGTGGTGAACTGAAAAAAAAACTCATATCTTAGTTCTTTTTTTTATGTGTTCAAGCAGCGTATCGGCTTTCAGGCACTTTGTTTCCTTTTCTTCTCATGCTACAGCTCCCAACTTATAAACATTCCCTACTTTTGATGTTTAATATAGAAGAAAACTTCTCTAAAACACCAGGGCTAACTAATTTGCGCCTCCTATCATCATACCTTTCCTAAGGTCATAGCAGTTCTCTAAAGATCGTTTTGGTTGCTTCAATCTTCAAGTTGCTGAGCTTGTCTTTCCCATTCCTGGTCACTATCAATGCCAGATCTAAATTGAGTAGAGGAGGACGAGCCAGATCTTTTTTTTTTTGTGAAGAGTGGGGAGTACCACGAGGGAAAAGATGAGGAGTTTTTTGTCTTTTATCCTATTTTTTGGATCACGTGACTGTTATTTTTTTTTTTTGATCTCATCCCATATCAAACGTGATTTTAAAAGTTATTTCCATTCATAATCTCATGTCTAATCCTTTAAAATTCTACTCATACAAACAAGTTGAGGGTTAAATGATTAAATCCCTTTTTAATGTTTTAAACCTCGTATTACTTCGTTTTTATTTATAAAAAAAATTATCACTTTTTACTTATCTTTTTATATAAAAAAAATCACATATTTTAATGAGTATTTATTACACATTTTTTAAATCATTCTTCATAATTTACATTAATAAAAAAATTAATACATGTTTATGTCAATTAATATAAAACATTTTAGTTTAATTTTTTTAAATATAATTATCATGATTAATTAATATTTTTAAATTATGTAATACTGTTATTTTTTTTATATAAATATAAAAACGGAAGGAGCATGTGTTCTGTTGGGCTACAGTTGGTAGGTGACCATAACTATCATGGCCACCCCAACATTATGCCGGTGGCAGCATTAAATGAAGGCGCCTTCCGATGAGTCTCTGAGGAAAAACTGTTTATATAAGTGGTGGTGCCATCCTGGACCACCCTTGAATTGGAGAGGAAGTAATTAGGGAAAGAGCAAGAGAGAGAATGGACGTTGTGGTTGAGGTGGAAGAGAGCTTGAGAGAGTTGAGGGAGAGCTTCAAGAGTGGACGTACCAGAAGTGTGAAATGGAGGAAAACCCAGATCACTGCGCTTCTTCAGCTTCTTCGTGACCAAGAAGAGGCCATCTTTAGAGCTCTCCATCAAGATCTTGGCAAGCACCCTGTTGAATCTTACCGCGATGAGGTTTCTTTTTGGCTCCTAAATCTTTACAAACTGTAATAAAAGAGAGAAAGAAAGAAAGAGGAGGCCCTAACTTCCTTCAGAACATCTAAAATGTGGGAAAATCTGTGAAGAGACCAACTTTCGGGATATAATCAACTTCAAATATCTTAAAGTTTGATGTTGGGTTTATGTTAGTGACTGATTTGTTCTTTTGGTGTAGGTTGGAGTTGTAGAAAAATCAGCCGAAAATACTTTGAGCTGCGTTGAGAAATGGATGGCTCCTAAGAAGGTTAATTTGTTTTCATTCATTTCCTGATGAAGATAATTTCTCCTTTCCACAACCCGTAACTGATTCTGTTTCTGTTTAGCTTGATTGGACGCTATCATTCTATTATTTCAGTGGAAGCTATCATTCTATTGTTACTGTTTCTTTTGATTGTTTGTTAAATATTGAAATAGTACTATGTCACTTCCAATGCTAAAAATAGAAATATGAATGGTACACAGTAAAGTAACAAAGGAATTTGGGTTTAGTAAAAGAAGCTAGTCTATCACAACATGGTGAACTAAGGTTTAAATCCTTACTGAAAGAAGTGCCCACATTTAGTGCCTGGTACCTCAGTAGAAGGGTACATGTGAGTAATCCAAAAAAAAAAAAAGTAACAAAGGAATCTCTTAGGTCCAAATGGCATTCAAGAGTTTCCTCATCCATGCTCTAGAAGCTTCACTTGATATGCAGATATAGGCTTTGGAAGAAGCTTCCGAGGAATTTGCTGAACATCTAGCGGGTATAATAAGTAAAAGCTACTCACGAAAAAGGGGGAAAATCCCAATTAGAAAATTCAGCCATGCAGCATTAGAACCTAAGTTTCGAATACTGATATCAACATCAAACTTAGATTTGTCTTCAGTCAAAATTCTCATGAACAGAAGTATTCGAGTAAATTTGGCCTGCAAAAAGTACGCTGATCAAATTGATCAACGCAAGGTATATTCTACTTGAAAATGTGCATTGTATACTTGCATGTCTGTTTATGTTTGACTTAAATTTATCCATCCATGGTCGATTTAATCTGACTGAGAATTTTTCATGTCAAACAACTACCATTTCGTTTGGATTCTGTTGAACCAAGATGGTGATGATTGTGTTTGTTCTTAGCTATAGTACAGCTGCTTCTCCCAATGTTTACGGCTGAGCTTTGTCTCAGTCACAATTAACAAGGATTTTTGTGTTGGGGGCGATTGTGGCAGAGTCACATTCCTTTCCTTTTCTTTCCCGGAAGTGGAGAGGTGTTATCAGAACCACTTGGTGTGGTTCTCATATTTTCTGCTTGGAACATCCCTATCGGTGAGTCTGAAAATTACTTTGTTCATATTTACAGACTAGGCAGTGAATTATTCATTGATCAAATTTCATGCATTCTTTATAGAGATAAAGTCATCTGTCCTCTGCGTTTTGATCTCTAAAGCGGATCCATTTGCGTGCAGCTCTATCACTGGATCCATTAATTGGAGCAATATCTGCAGGAAATGTGGTAGTCCTTAAACCTTCAGAGCATGCTCCAGCATGCTCTTCCTTCCTGGCTGGTGCCCTTCCTCAATACCTGGACTCTAAAGCCATTAAGGTTATCGAAGGTGGATCAGATGTCTGTGAACAACTACTACTGCAGAAATGGGATAAAATATTCTTCACTGGTATTTTTTATTATGATTAGCTACTTCATTTCATTGAACTTGGAGAATAAGCTCATCATGTTTTCCTGCATCTGATTGTCTATCAACTTTAACGAAGGTAGAATTTTTTCAGGGAGTCCACGGGTGGCAAGCATTGTCATGTCTGCTGCTGCAAAGAATTTAACTCCTGTCACTCTGGAGCTGGGTGGAAAATGCCCTGCCATACTTGATTCCCTCCCTAACCCTTCAGATTTTCGGGTAGGGCACGCTTATTGATTCTGAAACTTTTCTTGTTAAAGTTCATAATCTAATGAAAACTTTGCTTCCGCAAATTTGATGGCATTGAAGATGGCAGTCAAAAGAATTGTAGGAGGGAAGTGGGGAACATGCAGCGGACAAGCATGTATAGGAATAGACTATGTGCTGGTTGAAGAGAAGTTCGCATCTGTTTTGGTAATCTTGACAGCATCAACAACTGATTCTAATTTTGAAGATTTATTTATTTTGGTAATTGTAAGTTGCTTTTGTTCTTTCAGGTAGATTCATTGAAGAAGATAATCAGGAAATTCTATGGTGACGATCCAATAGAGTCAAAGGTCACTGCCAGAATTGTAAACAAGCACCATTTTAAGAGGTTATGCAGTCTTCTTGAAGAGCCTCAGGTTCGGGCTTCCATTGTTCATGGCGGTTCAGTTGATGAAGAGAATCTGTATTTTCTCTAACCCTATCCATCCATCTCCTTAACCCAACAAATAAGAAAAGGGTTTTTCATCCATTTCTGAAAACTTTTTCAGGTTCATTGAGCCCACCATCTTATTAGATCCTCCACTAAATGCTCAGATAATGGCGGAAGAGATATTTGGTCCTTTGCTTCCAATAATCACTGTGAGAATCAACAATAGCAATCCCCTTTGCTGTTCGGAGTTGTCACAAATATTATACTACTGAGCTGTTGACTTGCTGTTTCTGCAGATGAATAACATTCAAGAAAGCACAGGATTCATAAATTCAAGGCCAAAACCTCTGGCCATTTATGCATTCACCAAGGATGAAGCTTTCAAGAGAGCGATTCTATCAGAAACGTCGTCTGGAAGTGTTACATTTAATGACACACTGGTCCAGGTACTGCTGGTGACATCCCTCATTCTTAGAAGTTAAATTTTGGAGTGAAGAATATTATTTATTCTACGTATAAACGGATCATTGTGTTTCCAGTTTGTATGCGATGCACTGCCATTTGGAGGGGTCGGGCCAAGTGGGATTGGAAGGTACCATGGGAAGTACTCTTTTGAGACCTTCAGCCATGAAAAAGCTGTGATGTATAGAAACCTATGCCTTGAAATAGAGCCAAGGTACCCTCCTTGGAATAAGTTCAAGCTGCAGTTCATAAGACTGGCATACAAACTGAACTACGTTGGTCTATTACTGCACATGCTGGGAGTGAAAAAACACAGCTAGACAAAATCGACTTCTCATCAACTATGTCCTAGAAGCACTTGCTTTTCTTATAATGTTACTACTAGCTGTTTCCATCGGACGCATTGCAAAATGGGTGCAGAACTTGCAAACAATTTCTTCTTTCCTTCTTAAATCCGAAAAATCCTTCCCTTCAACGTATTTATATTTCCATGAGCTTCAAACGCGATTGATAGTGCATTATTGATCATTGTATTGAGACGGTTGCTAATTCTCAATAAATAGCAAACATCTACCATGAATTATCAAATTTCTTATCATCATTCCGAAATTTCTTTCCAACTCGTAAGAGAAGAGCAAGGCCACAGCTAGGCGCACCATTTGTTTCAGAGACACTGCAATAACCATTAACACACACTCCAGACACTGATAAATATCCTCCATTTCAGATTCAGAATATTAACCAATATTGGCAATCCTCGGTCTTTTCTTGGGGCAGGAAAAGAATTACAAAGCCATCCACGTTAAAAATTACACAAAACAAGGAGAAGCAAATTACATCTTTCCTTTTTGCAGCAATCGTTAAGTATGGCTAAGATTGGAAGACAACTCTCTTGATCTCTGCCAAGAGCTTGTGACACTTTCTCTCTCTCGCTAAAATTGGGAATAAATAGTAAATTCACAAATCTATAAAAACACGAGTAATGCATTAGACCAGATCATTTCCCAAATGAAAGGGGTGCATAGACCGACTATATTTAAATCCAAGCACCTTTACCCCATAATCACAATATTTCGAGTTTGTTTACTCCTTAAAGTTGCTAGAGTCACATTGTTTCCTCTTCCTTTACAATACCACGTAATTGGGCAAATGACAATTTACATCAAAGTTATTACGCGTTTCAAGGCATCCTGCGTTCTCAGAATGCCTCTCTCCCATGAGGATTTTTCTTTCAAAAGGATAATCCTCTACTCTAATTTTGTTAAGAAAGATAACTAGAAATTATACTTTATCATCATGGAACCACCACCTTGTCTCCTTAGGAGATCTACCATTTCTGCAGTTCTTTACATAGCGATCATTATCTTCAGGACGTTGCTGCAAGACAAATCAATAGAGTCAATATGAAACCAAAGGATGAGACAACATTAACACAAGTAAAACAAGTAACAAGTAACAATGTAAACAATAACCAATGATTAATGATAATAAGAATAATAACCAACCAAGAGGCTCAAATTAAATTAGTTCAAAGTCAAAACCTGCTTTAAACCAGTTGAAAAAGAACCAAGGCAGTATGCGCCCAATTTTTATTTATGTATAAACATATATGATTTCTTAACTTTAAAACGATGCAAATCGGTTCACACCTTTACAGTTGAGCTTGAAAGCATTGAGAGAATGCTGATGCAGATAGAACTAACTGTCATGGCCGGGGACCATGAGTCATACAGTATATCTGCAGAGTTTTATAAACGGAGATATTAAACGTCAGCTCACAGCAATGAGGTATAACTGTCATTCAATCAAACTTCTATAGTGTAAAATACATGTGACAATGTATTTTCAGCCTTCTTGTGCATTCCCATTTATCACACACGCACACGCACACGCGCACAAAAGCAAATATGCTGTCAAGGTTTAATGTAACATGCTCACACTGCATTCTGGAAAGATGAGGAAGTTCAAGACGAAAGTTAATGATTTATCACTTCCTTCCACCTCAAAACCCATGAGAGTGAGAGAGGGGATTTTTTATTAGAGAAAGACGCTACGCGCATGATGGATGCTATCAACAACAAATATAGACCAGCGGATCCAAATGTGGAGATGCTTGAATAGAGTAAGGAGTTAACACTGCATCTTAACTCCTTTGCCACTCTCAATTGTTAGCCTTCTCATACTAATGTCATTTTACTTGAAATTTATTTTTAAAAAAGATCCCAAGCAGCAAATCATGAACCTTATCAATAATCATTGACTAAACAGCCAAAAACACTTGAGAGAATCTGACTGATTAAATATGCAGGAATCTTTTAGTCAAATTTTTATATCAATCATATAGAAAGTTGAAATCTTTTTGCGAGAATTCCAAGAGTTCCCCCTTGAAAAGTGAGAAGAGACTAAACAATAGATGCAGATCCAACCCAGAACTAGACCCTTCAAATGGGGAATATTTCAAATAATAATAATAATAATAATAATACAACGATTGGAACATAATTTCAAAAACAAAGAACAAAATGTGCAGGTATCCAAACACAAATGAAATTTGAAAACTAAAAATAAAAAATAGAAGCAAGAGTGACAGACCCAAACTTATTCCTTCTGCTTCCCAGGCATACTGCAGTTTTCCTACCTCTTTGCCAGTTACCTTCCAGCTGTTAATCCCAATATTTAGAATTTACATCTCACAATAAGGCCTTACTAGGATGATCATCAGCCAAAGAATTATCTTCTCTTATTGTCCTTCCTTTCTTCTTAAGTTTGCCAACTCTTTAGAAATACTTTCAATTGCCTGGGCAAACTCCTTATCCCAAGAATCGCTGATGCCTAAACTACCCATTTGACCCCAGCCTCTTTACCGTGACTTCTTAGCAGTTATAAGAGTTTTGCATGTCATAACTTGGAAGTCAATTTGGAAGCATTTAAAGCATCTGAAAGAACGGATAACAGAAAACTAGATGCAAGTCCAGCAAATACCAAAAACCTCCAAACAAAGTTTATGCAATAATAAAAAATTAGATGTAACACCATTAGCAAAGAGCATATTACAAAATTAGACACCATAAACACAAAAATTTATTTTAAAAAAACAATACTATATACAACCACATGCATACCTAAACAAATGTGCCCGTTGCTATAGATATGGGGATGCAGTGGAGCAGGGTGCAAAAATATGACCTGTTAAAGCGTCCATAATTCAGGTCAGAAAAGAACAGCATCACCGAAAGGCAGAACTTAGAGCTAAAAGGTAGAATTCACATATTTTACAGCTAAAATACTTCCACAGCTTATGTGGTACCTGTGGAGCTTCCATTGGGTAGTGCTCCGGAAAGTCGACCTGAAGTTGGTAGGTTTCATTGGCGTAAAGTGTACCCGGAGCTCCAGTCACTTCAATAACCCACCTTTGAGTAAAAATCACAAAGACAACGTAACAGAAAAATGACGTGAGTAACCAAAGGATCAATAAGCCAAATCAAAAAGGACAAGTAGAAACTTTAAAGGCAAACGATTTAGGCCACAGCGGGCATCACAAGCAAATAGTTAGCATAAAACCCCAGTCCGCCAATTAGACTAGAAAGCAATAAGTGTCAGTTAGTGTGTACGAATTCTAGGACAGTTAATCAAGGGCCAAAAATCCTAAATTTCTCAATCGATTTTGCAGGACCTAAAGACTGATAGGAAAAAGAACCAGAAACGAATCAGGGCAGAAGTGAATAAGAAGAAATAGGTACCTTTGAATATTATCGGTGACTTTGTGCTTGAAACCGGCAGGGGGGTTGACCTGCCACTCCACAAGTTCCTTCTGAAGCCTATTGCAGGCAATCTTACTCAGAGCCTGAACATCCGGATCCAAATACAAAGCGTAAAGAAAAAGATAAATCGATTAGATAAAGAAAAAACCATCCAGAAAGCGGGATTGAGATGGGAGAAGTTAGGGCTAACCTTGCGAGAGGTAGCGGAAGAGCTGGTCATGATTTTTGCTCGGGAAGACGAGAGAGAAGAGATTTGACGAAGTTATGCTTCCCCCGACCTTTTTATTTCTGTTGCTTTTTATTAAAAAGTCCCCGTTTACCTCAAGTATGTTTCTTATCACGCCAAAAAAAATCAATGTATTGATATAAAATCGATAATATATTACATTATTTGATATATTTCATTTGACTATATAATATATAAATATATAAATATATATAAGCATATATATTTCCAATTTTTTCTATATATTTTAGAAAAATATATTTGAAGTTATTATTTAGTAATAATAAAACTGTTAGTCTCTGGTCGTTTTACCTGTCGATTTGATTTTTAAAATTTAATTTTTTTTATCAATATAATCATTTTTTTAAGTTATCAGGGTGGCCATTGTATATTTGAAAAAATTTTAATTAACGATTAGAGAAGAAAACTATTTATCAATAGATCCCAAAAAATTTAATGAGTTTTTTTGACTGAACTTAAATAAAGTTGATGGTTAAAAAGATTAAAATGTCTTTTTTTAGAAAAAAAAAGTAATTAACAATTAATATTAATAAATTAATAAGTAAAGGCGGAGAATTACTAACTAATGATTTTATATATCGGATAAAATGATTAAACTATTATAATTATTGGCAAGTTAAGTCATGTAATTTAAAAATAATATTGATAAATTAATAAGTAAAAATTAGACAATTAACAATTAATAATTTTATATTTCAAAGAAAATGATTGAACTAGTATAATTATTGACATCTAAAGTTAGATAATTTACAAATAATGTTGGTTAATTAATAAATAACCTAAGAAAATTAACAAATAGTGATGGTGCTTTTCTATTAAATAGAGTGAACAGACCTTGTAAAAAATTTACAAGTCAAGTTAAGTAATTAATAAATCATGTTAACAAATTAATAAGTAAAGTTATGAAATTAATAAGTAATATTTTTAAGATTATGAAATCACAAGATTAACTACTTAACAAGTACTGTTAAAGAATTAAAAAGTACAAGCAAGCAATTAATAAATAAATTTAGATAGTTAACTAATTAATTGTATTTTTAACAAGCATTGTTAGGGAATTAAAAAGTACAGATAAGCAATTAACAAATAAAGTTAAATAGTAATCAAGTAATGTAGTTGACTTAAGGAGCTCCAAAATGAACTTGCCACGTCTGCTATTGCAATATCATTTTAAAGTTTTTACAGATAACATAAAGGAAATAACAAGTGATGTAATATTATTAACATATACCATTTACAGGCTTCACAAAACAAAGTTTTTACTTGTTAATTTTGTAGAAGTGTATTTCAATATTTTCAATTACCAATTTTATTTCAATTTAATTAAAAAACTTGCAGAGAATTTTTAGATTTTTTTTGAAACTCATTGATAAATATTTCTCTTCCTTAATCTTTAATTAAAATTCTTCCTATATATTTTTTATAGAAAAGTTTTGAAATATAAATCAGTTATCAAATTATGATATATACAAAGTAAATCTCAGACTCTCATTATAATATGTATACGTGGTCAAATAAAGCCAAATTTCCTCCTTTTTTTTTTCTATTCTATATTTCCTTGTTTTACTATTTTCTTTTTTCTCTTATACGTTTTGTTCTTGTTTTTTAAATTTTTAATCCATTCTTAAAAATAATTACATTTCTTTTTTATTAATAGACACGATCGCTAATTCAATATTTGGGTATTTATATCAATAGATTTTAATAGTATTATCTCTTTTTTAAATAATAAACACTACATTGATTAAAATTAAATTTAAAATACTGAATTGATAATCGAAAGAAATTTAAGGAGTTAAAAGTTTTATTATACCTATTGTATATCCTTCGTATCATACACATCTAATTGTTAATATATTAGGATATTCGTTTAAATTTACAAGTTTAATTAAATAAGTATATTATTATTATTATTATTATTATTATTATTATTATTATTATTATTATTAATGTTATTATTTAATTAATCAAGTTGGAGGAGCGCGTGGATGAGATGTTACTGACTTATTTCCGTGACTCGTCGGTGTTCGATTTAAGATCGTAGTTGGAAGTCGATGAGGGTCAATCAAACAACTTTTGCTAGTCTGGCAACCAATGTTCAATGCTCCATTACACACTATAAAAGCAAATTAATCATTTTTTAAATTTAAATTTAAATAAATAGAATAATTATAGTAATTACTCCATCTTTTTAAAAATATAAGATATTTTTAATCGAATATCACCTCTCAATAAAGTAGCTATCTACTTTTCAACTAATCCTATCTTTCCATATTTATCTCCATTAAATAACCTATAATAAATATAAATTTATTATCAATCGAAATACTTAAAAAAAAAAGATAATGATTACATTTTAAAAGATTAAAAATACTTTACATTTTTAAACATTTAATTTTTTAAAAATATCTTATATTTTTAAATTAAGTCAGTATTAATTATCTAGCATGGGAGTGGGTGAGCGGGCAAGGCTTCTTTCGTTTTCAATTAAAAAAATAAAACGGGAAAGAATCGCAACCAATGAAGTGAACTTGCTAATATGTATGCCTGTGAGTCCCTAATCCTATGAAAGGGTCCATATTTGTTCTTAATATATTAAATGTCCGTTAAATTTTTACTTTTTTTTTAGTTAAACCACACTTCCTAAAATTGAAATGCCTCATCAATCACTATCTAAGTTTGTTTCATCCATCAATATTAGGAATTGAACTCTCAATGAGTTGCTAAAAAAATAACCACTCACATCAACCTAAATTAGTGAATTCTTGGTAGCGTTCACCATCTTCAGAAAAAATTAATGATAAAAGGTGATATGTGAAAGTAGAACTTTATTCACAAAAAGTTGCAAGTCAGTGTGCACAACTAAGGACGTCCATCTTGATTAGCGTCCAATCATGTTGGGTGTGGTGGGAATACTCAAACAATAAATATGCACTAGTAAATAATGAAGATTTCCATTTCCATTTTCTAGGTAAAAGAGATAATTGAATGGAAAGTGATGATATTATCAAGTAATTATTGAATGAAACATGAATATGAACTCTCATGTACTTATCATGTTTAAACAATATTTTTATTTTTATGATAAATTATCTTAAAAGGAGCACCTGCTGACTTAAATTAGTTAATTATCCAAACAATATTATTCTCTATTTATAGAGTGGAGAAAGAAATTTTTGTGATTCTATTTATAAATCATATCAATAAATTTTCATCATAAATTATTCTTTTTATGCTCCATTAAATTTTGAAAAAAATGTATTATTAAAAAAATATATATATATATAATTGAGAATTTATTATTTTTAAATATAATTAATAAATTTTAAGACTTTTTTATTTTAATAAAATGTATTGAAAGTAATATATAAATACGATAAAAAAAATTATTGCAATATCATTGATTAAGGTTGACCCTTTTAAATTAACTATGGATTAAAAAGCAGAGACCCAAAAGAGTGACGTGTTGTGGTGGAGAGCGAGATGAGATCATGAGATGGATAAAAGGAAGGAAGACAGGCTGTCCAACAAAATATCGCGGCGCAACCAAGGAGTCAGTGTTTATTGGCATAAAGCGACCGATGGTCCCTCCCTCCGTAACCATTCGGGATTACAACTCAACAACGCCATACCCTTTGTTTTTTTAAGCATTATCTTCTTTCAACTTTGCTCCTCCATCAGTTTCACCTTTATCTGTACTTCTAATCTAAAGGTCCCTTTTTTTTTAGTTAAAAATGTCAAAAAAATATAACTTTAAATTTTTAGGCTTAGCTTCGTTCACATTTTATTATTAATTTTTAAATTTTTTTAATATTTTAAGTTTTTATATTTTTATTTTTTATATTTTAAATTCCTTTAAAGTCATATATTTTGTTATGAAGAGATTTAAAACACTAAAAAATAAAAGTATAAAATTTAAAACATTAAAAAAAATGCAAAGAGCAGTTATAAAATGTGAGTAAAATGTAGAGATATAAAGTTATATTTGTTAAAAAAAATCTCTACATAAGGAACAGTACCCTTTTAAAACCCTGGAAGATTCAGATCATGTTAAAGCATTATCATATACTTAATGATCAAAATTCACATTTGCTCTGTGCTGCTGACCCAATATTCCGTCAATTGTTTCTTGGAATAATAACTTTGTTGACGCCAAGTATTTCAAAAGAGTGGAAGAATGTTATTCTCTCTTTAACCTGTGGTTACGTTGCATGATAGATTCTTTTCATCTTCTTCACATCGCTGGAACCACTGTCCCTTTTTACAGTTTTTCTCCTCTTCGATCTGCTGTGTATGAGTCTCTCTCTCTCTCTCTCTCTCTCTCTCTCTACACACACACACACACAGTCAAAAGGATGAGAGCGTGCTTTTACAGATTTGTGCATCTTCCATTGTTGGGGACTGGATTCTCTTTGGCTGCCATGGACTCTGTAACCCTAGCCGGAACCTGTAAATTGAGGTTATTCCAAAAGTAGGACCATGGTTAAGATAGCATTGAAGATAAGCAAGCATATTCCAAGCGTGATTTCCTGCCATCAACGTCCAAGAAATTTGCAACACCGACAAGCTTTTATTTTAATAACTGCTTTTACTCTCTCGGGGTTTTCCTCCCCCTACACTCTGCTGCCCAACCACTTTGCTTGACTTTGTATTTGGCTGCCTCAGTTGTATTTAAGGTTCTCTGTTCTATTTATTTATTTAATTTGAGGTTATAGTCATCTGAATTATGCTATCTATCTACAGGTTCTGTGAGTCAAGCCTCTTTATTCCCTTTGTTTACTCATCTTCATAATTTTAAAAACTAAGATGATATTTAATTGAATAATAATATTTACTTTGTTTTAATTATTTGATGTAATTAACTTTAACTAGATAAATTGATCATTTATGTTTAATAAACATATTTGACCCATCGTAATACAGTAGAACAAATCAATAGTCCATTACGGCCAACTAGAGCCTTTTTTGGTAGGCAAAAAATTAATAGATACATACGCTAAAAAAATGCTGTTTACCAAACAAATTGGGCATAAACACAGTGGGCTATCAAGGACAAACAAAAAAGTTGCTTTCTCACTAGTGACTATTCATAACAATTAACAATAGTTTAATTTGAGGTTGAGTTCAAGTCCCAAGATATACAATAGCGTAGCTAAGCATGCAAGGCATGTCTTGCTAGTGATATCTGCGATTGCAAAACCCTCTGAAAGAGAGCCCTACTTAAATAGGGATCCAAATCCAGATTAGTCTGGAGTAAATTGGACGAGTAATGAATTCAGCATATCCAAACACTATTAAAATACCGGATGCAAAAGCAAAAAAAAAAAAAGGAAAGAAAAATAGAATTTAATATCCAACACCGAAAAGTACATGAACCTTTCAATGTAAACTTTTATAAAGCAGGCTAATCACTTGTTTTGGCACCGTAGCATTTGCTAAATTAAAAATGTTGAGGAAAAGAAAAGTGCTATTCTCACTACATCGGAAAAAATGTATTTAGAATACAAATAATACATAAGACGGTGCTACGGGGTAGGCGTGGGTAAAAAGAAGGCATAGTCAACGTCCACTGTGAAAGTCGCACAACAGAACCAGAGTGTACTTCTGATGACGACATTGAAACTTGAAAGAAATGGTCACTGTCACAAACCAAAAAAAAAAAGGACTGTCTTCTTTTTTCCCAACTAGAGAAACTGTCCATTTCATCATCATCATCAACATCAAGAAAGACTGAGAATGTCAGCTTACATTCATACAGAAAAACTGGAAATACACACAGGAGGCCTGGCTAAATAAAGATCATGAATAATGGTCGATCGAGTTTAGCACATGTGTAACAGTGCAGGCTGACCAAAATCCCACTTCAGCTGCAAAAGGGAGCCGATTCTTGTACGCAGCTTGGGTCTGCGAAGCAAACATTTTAACTTTCATTCAAGACGCAGGATAAGTTTCTCAGGCCAAGTTTAGGCTATGAACTGACAGTGTGTGGTAGAACTTTATATGGATTGAGTATTTTGTTCGGATCCAGCAGATTCTTGATTGAAGCCATTAATTGCACCTGTCCAATTTGATAGTAGCTAGCTTAAATATTCTACACATCAGTCTACATTTTCAAATAGAGAAATATAGGGCGAGTCGATAATCACATACAGTTTCACGTGACTGACTATAGAAAATCTCATTAGCTTTCATTAATCCAAGGCCATGCTCTGCACTTATACTGCCATTGTGCTTCGATGTCCATTCATACACATAAGGTTCGATCTGTGATAAAATCTGCAAGTTTTAATACAGATGATCTGTTATAAAAAGATAACCATCTCAAAACCAAACAGTTATCTGGCAAACCCACGATCAAGTTACCTTATCATCACACTGGGGAGCTGAGATGTTTAAGTGCAAATTACCATCTCCCAGGTGACCATATGCTACTACATTAGCGATATTGCCTGCAATTCCAAATGGCAAAGAATAATTTTTTTGAAAGTTTATTAAGGTTCCAACATGCAAGACAGTGTTACTGCTGATCCCTGAGAACATATACAAAAGCAATGTCTCCTACATTCTGAATTCCAAACATTATGACGGGGATGTGAAATAGATCATTAAGAAGCCTGTAATAATGTGATTTCTAGGAAAATCCCACAAAAAAGCTAAGCAGTTAAAATAAGAAAGCAAACGTTGATTGATCGCTAGTCCACCAGATTTACTCAGGCCTGCATCTTACCAAGTCTAGCGCGCAATTCTTCAGGAAGATTGTACAACTTTTCAACAGGTATCGATAAATCATATTTGTAAACAGCTCCCGCTCTCATTAGTGCCTCTGGCACACCCTGACACCATTAAACCTCGTAAATATAATCCAATTTTATAATAGTATATTTAGAAAGCTAGACAGCAAAACTTCTCAAGTCATAATGAGATTACTGGATTACTTTTATCCATAGCAAACCACAGAAGGGATATATCCTTAATCATGAAGAGTATAAAGTACTCCTATCAGAAGAAGCAGAAAATAAAAAATCATCACCTCCCGTAAATGCCAAAACGATGAAGCTTGGTTTATGTCTTGGGCAAGAACACCATCAGATACCAATTCATTTTCCATAGAGTGAAGTAAAAATGCTTCAAGCTTTTGTCTGGAGATATTTAAAAAAAATGTGGCGTCAAATGTGAAGGACTTCAAAAATTCACTCATAAGTTACAAATAAAAAAAAAAATTAAGAACCATGGCAAAATATATATATATATATTTAAAAACATGTTTAATCTCAAAACAATAATAACAAGTCTTATCCCGCTAGATGGCATTAGTTATATGAATTGCACGATGCCATTAAGTTCTATCATCTTTCATCTCCAATAAATAGAGTTCTTCATTTCAATAAATGCATACCACTGTAAACTGAATTCTTTGAGGATAAGAATTTAAATAACTGTCATATTATCATGAGGTCAATCAGACCCTGCAAATATTTCCCCAATCTCTGTAGAAAACAAAAGGAGCGGCAAGGACTTTACTTGTCAAAGGATTCATCACTTCCTGTAGTCTCAATCAGAACATAAAAGTTATGCATTGACGCAGGTAATGGATTCCGTGCACCTTCCAAATGATTTAAAACCTGCTAGATTCGGGAAAATCAGCAATCAAGGAAAAGAAAATGTCAAAAGATCACGGTAGCATAAGTTGCCATAGATGGTGAACACAAGTTCAGCTAATGTAAAATGGTAACTAAACTGTGCTGTTTCAATTAAACATTTAAATGATATGCCTAAAAATCACGGTAGCATTGGAGTCAAATTGATAACATGCATCAGCAACAATAATACAACTCCAATGCATTGATGGGGGCAACTTATTCAAAATATCTCAATCATCAGTGTCAGTAATATAACATAAAATGAACATGTGCCACAATGCAAGCCTGGTATTGACACCCCCCCCCCAAAAAAAAAAGAAAAAGAAAAAAGAGTCTCAGGAAATCAAGGAAAGCTTACCAAATTCATAGATGGGCCATCTAAAAATTCAAATGCAGATAATATCTCCCCGAGTCTTCTCTTTGCTTCCTGTAGCAATTTCTGATAAACAATATAGAAATAAATGTTATAAGATGAAATGTTTCATTCTTCGAAACATAGGGGGCAAGTAAATAACAAATAAGTGATTATGATTAATTTGGAAAAGACCAAGTTTTTTTTTTTTCCCTTTTTTGATAAGAGTAAGAGAGCAACTTACACAACATATAATCATAATCATACAAGTTTCAGATAATAATTAGCTATGTAAATCATGAAGAGCTTGCAAATATATCATTACTACAACAGGTACAAGAGTAAAAACTAAACACAGAATTGACAGTGTAAATTTCAAAACCAGCTTGGTATTTGATACCGCATCAGCCCTCATCAGAAACATATTTCGCTCTATCTAATTCAAATGTACTGAGAGCGGCCATGTTGACAACAAAATAATCTTATGACCAATAAGTTCACCCTAATTAAATCATTTTTTTCCTTCAGCGCTACATATAATTATGATATTCTCTGCCTATGTGAATTTGCGGTGGCTTTCAAATCTTGTGAGTATAGTACGATTTGCTTTCTAATTGAGGTTAAGGGTCCTTCATGTTTTGTCTTTTTTAATCAAGTTTATAAAGATAATGACATGAGTAAAGTAGCAAGCATCTGTTAGGACCATAACAATTGTTTCTAGAACACTTCGCAAAAGATGAGAAAAGTTATGGAACCTTTTTAACTAAACTATGACTCATTATGCTGTAGTTTATTCATTTTAGCTATTCAATTGTCAAAAATCAAAATGTCAAGGTAGACTGTATCGTCAAGCACCGTATTTCTGTTATTGAGGGTCATTTTGTTGTTTGATTTGTGTGTCTTGTCTCAAGTGATTGTTGGGTAGTAAAGTATTTGTAATTCTATTCAGTGCCATTGAGAGTGTGGAAATAATTGACTTCCAGTTACAAGTGCAACACTCTAATTCATATACGTGCAGTGATATTGACTAGGGAGTCACTCTGGCTACAAAAACACTAAACTACACAAAACATAGATGACACGGATAACACTGACATTGAAGATAAGAACTACAGTACGAAACACTCACAATGGCAGTGAAGAGAATTACAAAATACTATACTACCCAGCAATCACTTGAGATTAGACACACAAATCAAACAACAAAATCACCTTCAATAACAGAAATACAGTACTTGACTGATGCAGTCTACCTTGACATTTTGATTTTTGACAGTTGAATAGCTAAAATGAATAAACTACCGCATAATGAGGCATACTTCAGTTAAAAAAGTCCCATAACCTTTCTCATCAACTAATCTTAGAAATTACCAAAACTAAGTGTTGCACCCCAAAAAAATAACAAGTTTCAAGGTGAGAACATTTATCATGCCTGGATGCTGATATAATCTTTACAAGCAAGAAAAGCCACATTGACGGAAGATAATTTTGGTGGTGTGAGTATGGAAACCTTGGTAACAATTCCTAGGGAACCTTCACTTCCTACACCAACCATGTGTAGAGTTAATGCAAACAGGCCAATTAACAGTTTCAAGACTTGAATTGAACATAAATTTGTGACAGCATACCTATAAATAGATGTTTCAAGTCATAGCCGGTGTTATCTTTGCGTAGCGTCTTAAGCATGTCAATTACAGTACCATTTGCCAGAACAGCTTCAAGACCTGCGTTGCAGTGAAAAACTTGCTTTAGAATAAAGTCAGCACAACAGAAAATGGACCAACAATGACTCTACATTTGCAATATATTGAGCAACAGCTCTTTGATGCTCAAACATGAAGATGGTTCAGCACCTCAGCTGAATTTCTAGAAATGACAAAATCAGTACATTCATCTAGGATTATTTTATGGTTTAGAAATGCTCCCTTACCAAGTACATTTCCATGAAGGGATCCATAGCGAACAAGGCGCAAACCACCAGCATTAGTTGAGACATTTCCACCAACCTGGCAGCTGCCTTTGGCACCTAAGTCTAGTGGCATAATAAATCTGAATGAAGAGTGCAAGCCATTTAAATACCAGTACACCAAGTCTCTATATGGTCTAATTTCAACAGGCAAAGAGTGCGGAATGAATCATCTAGAAACTTTCAAAACCTAAGTTGTGGGATTGCACCTCAAATGTTAAAAAAAGAAAAAAAAGAAAGGGAACACATTTTTTAACTTTAAATATAATTCTGTCAAGCAAAAGACCATAACAATTTGTTTCAGAATTCCTATTCAAAACTGAGGGAAAAAGTCACCAAAATATGGTAGTATTGTACATTCTTCCAAAATAAAATCATTGCTCTAAAGTTTTTTCGAGAATCAAATCCATATAGAAAACTACAGAACTGCAATAAATTTAGTCATTCCTTCGCTTTTGTTTAGAAGAATCTAACTAATCAAGTAGCTGTCATTGAGTGAGGAATTGCAACAGCAAATCTCTAGGACATTATGCTGAAGCTGATTCTGCAAATTTGAAATCTCAAGCCCATCCAAATTCACTATTTCAAAGAAAATGAAATTTGTTCTAAGCTGTCTTGCTATGTAATTCTGATTTATGATGTTGACATCTAGAAATGTCACAAGATATTTCATTACTAATCATGAGCAGCTAATCTTGACTGGAAAAAGAAAATAAAATACTAGAAAGCAAACTATAACAAGATTTCCTCTTTTAATAGTACAAAAACATCAATTAGACACAAATATATAGGGGGGGCACTTCTCTTCTATATGATAAGATAAATTGAGTGGGCATCACGAAAAATGAGAGGAGTTCAAGTGTTTCTAGACACTGAGCCTGCAACTTAATGTTCCACAAAGAAAATAAAGACAAAAAATTACAAAAAAAAAAAAAGAACCTAAAAGTTGATTTGTCATCTAATCTTGCAAATATAATAGTACTAGAAGCTTCCATAAGATATGGTTTCCTATAATAGAGAGACAGCAAACAGCAATAATAACAAGCCTTATCCCACTAGGTAGAGTTGGCTACATGGATTACACGATGTCATTGTGCTCTATCATTTACCAAGTTTTTAGGAATATTATTAACTAAGAAGTTTTGGTTAACAATTTCCATAAGTGTTCTCTTTGGCCTTCCTTTATCCCTCTTTACAGAGCTCAAAATAATCCGTTCCACTCTCCTTATCGGTGCCTCTTGCGGTCACCTTTATACATGTCAAAACTACATCAAACGATATTTTACCATTTTCACTTCAATAGATGCTATGCCCACTTTTTCTCATATATGTTTATTTTGGATTTATCTTTAGGTGTACACCTGCACATTTATCTCAATATTCTCATTTCCGCTACTCCAACTTTATGCCCCTACTGTCCCTTTAAAGCTCAACATTTACTATCATATAACATAGCCAGTTTTATTGCAATTCAATAAAAATTCCATTTAAGTTAATTAAGTACCTTTTGACTACAAATAACTCCTTTAGCCTTTCTCCAATTAAACAACCCAGTTTGTATTCTATGTGCAACATCTCCATCATGTTGAATAATAGCTTCTCAAATATCTAAATTTTTTCACTTGAGGTATAACATGATCTTCCAATTGCATTTCCAAATTAATACTGACTGATCTCTTATCAAAATTATAATACAAATATTCCATCTTACTCCTACTCAGGCAAAAACCTTTCAATTCCAATGTTCTTCTCCATAACTCAAGTTTGCAGTTAATCTCTTCCCTTATCTCCACAAAAAGAATTATATCATCCACAAAAAACATGCATTTGGGAATTATCTCTTGCATATGCTCAATCAAAACATCTATGATCATGTCAAACAAGAAAGGACTTAAAGATGATTTCTAGTGTAGTCCAATCCTATAGGAAAGCTCTTTCTTTCACTGTCAAACATTATTTGCCCCTTCATATGTATATTGTATAGCTCTATAAAGACAACTCAGACTCCTTTCTTTTCCAAGGTTTCCAATAATGGAGAGACAATCCAAACCAAAAGAAAAACAAATGAAACAAAACAAAAGGGAGAGGAAGAAGAAATTACCCTTCATTGTCCAGGAATGTTATTATATTTTCCAATATGCATCCTGCTTCACACACCAATATACCACTTACCTAAAAAACACATTGGACAAACACTTGACAATTAAGTAATATCCAATCATCCTCATGTTTAACATCGACACCATCTCCATGATTACCAAATCTTGGACCAAAATCACTATGAAAATGAAAATAAAAGCAAAATTATAGAAGAGAAAGCATGAATTCATCAATGAATAGCTCTAAACCAGAAAGATAGAACCATCTTAATATGTTATGGCACAAACACCACACAGCGAAAATGATAGCATGCTCATCAACCAGTTGACTGAAAATCCATTCAAAACCAAAGAGATAGAGACATTCATATAAACATTGAAGTGAAGGAGTTCTTAACAAAGATGCATTTTAAAGAAGGGAATGGCCTACCTTGTCAAAAGATATGATTTCTTTCATCAAACTAAGATTGATAATCACCTGCAGTGTTTCATTATAAGAGTGTTGTCAGCAGAACAGAGAATGAAGCAGGCTAAGTCTACCGTGACAAAGAGTAAATCTTGCCATGTCAGAGTTGCACTCTCGCCAGGCTAAACTTAAAAAGCAAGACAATTAAGTGACATGTAGTTGATCATTACTTCATCAAAAACAGGTACACTTCCACCCACAAGACCAGTATTTCCACCTTGAGGAACAACAGCCAGGCATCTAGAGTTGCAGTATTTTAGTATCTGAGATACCTGCAAAAGACATAATTTGAAAAAGATCAAAGGGAAGCATTTATATGGTTATAAGCTTTTTTACATTACTTAAACTCTAGAATGACAGACTAATGAAAACGATATCCAGAACCACAACAGCAACAGTTAGCCGCAATGACAAATAGAAGGCAACAACAACAACAGGAGGTTAAATGAATAAAGGAATTCCATCAGGATAACAACATGTTAAATAAACAGGTACCTCCTCGGTGCTCCGTGGCAGTAGCAGGAGTTTACTGGATCCTTTATATTTGTGCATCCAATCAGTATTGGCAGCAATAAGCCTCTCCTCGTCCTGGATGACATTTTTGTTCCCTAGTATGCTCTCAAAATATATAATATCATCATCATTTAACGCTGAAAACCGTGGGTTTCTATGAACAGATCCAGCTAATGAACCATAACATTGACGCTGAACTCCAGCCGGCATTCCGATACAAGTTTCTTCTATTTCTACGTAACCGAAAATAGGGAAAAGCCTCTGCTTTCCGCGAAAAATATTACATTGTAACTTAGCGCTGCTTCCACTGGAGAAAGCCCTGAAACCTGTGCCAAGTATAAAGAATTCTAATAAGCGTGTATGCCATGCAATAATTGGTTGGTACCGGGGTTTGGGGGAAAAAGGAAAATCAGAGACCAGAAAGGAATGGTACCGGAAACTAAAGCCAGAGTGATACATCGGCGTTCCAAGAAGAATTTAGGCGAGTGCTTGATCAATCGGAAAGTGGCTTTCCAATTCCAGTTGACCATTTTCAAGCTCGGCTACAGCAGAGTCTGTCACTCGGAGTCAGGGGTGAAGGAAGAAGATACAGCGGTGAAGTCCCCAGGCACGTTACAATCATACGATGCGCCAATTTTCACGCAATGCTCGACTAAGCGTCGTCAATCATCATCGTTTTCATTATCAACCGTTGTCATTATGTTTGTGACAATCGTTAATTTTTTCTTTTTGGAATGACTATCGTTAATAATTCAATATACCTGTTTCCATTTTTCCCCCTTCTTTTCTTTTTTCGGATTTCCGAACAAGAGGTGTAATTTCTTTCTTCACTCTTGACTATGCAGTACTAAGTGCTCTATCCGGTCCTGCAATTAGAAACTAGACAATTACTAATTGATAGAAATTAAAAATATTAGTTAAACTAATTATTTATAAAAATTATTTATGTGTTGATTTCTTTAAAAGGTAAATAGGTAAAAATACCCTCAAAGTGATTAGCCATAGACACCCAGTATTCTAAAGTGAGAAAAAAAGATAAAAATAATCATAATGTTACATGAATGGGTGCAAAAGTGATCAAACCATTAACTTTAACCTAACACCGTTAATTTTAACCGTTAAATACTAACTGTGCATGTCACGTGTTAGTCTTTGTTGACATGGACTAATAAAAAGGTAAAAATATTCATGAAATCATCAGCCAGGAGTAAAAATAATCACAACGTTATCAGAGTTGGTGCAAAGATAACAATCCATCCAATCTATTAAATGTTGACCGTTTAACTGACACCTAATTAAAAGTTGATTATTTTTTTGCTGATATGGATAAAAAAATTCCTAGATGAAATTCTTTGGAGGTAATTGGTCATTGTATGAATATCATGTGAGAAAATGTAATTTTAACTAAATATCAAATTAAATCGCTTGTTTCTTTGCAACAATAGCGAAAACCATTTGAAAATTTTAAACCTATTATGAATGCAATTGCTTAAGATTGTAACAATGTTTTTAAGTTAGATGTGCTCAGTTTTGATTTTCAATTTTGTACAACCTATCTCATTATGTTGAATATCAGGATTTATAGATAAGAAAAATAAGTAAAGAGGGAGAAAGAAAGGGGGTGAGATATATGGCGATAGAAAGAAACAATGTGACGTTGATTTCAACTGATTGGTCATTATTGCATATACTAAAGTAACATTATGAGTATTCATACGATAATCGATCAATATCCTTAAAAATTCATTTGAAAATATTTTTTGTCTACATTAATGAAAAAATAGTCAACTTCTGCTTAGATGTTAGCTAAATAATAAACATTTAAGGGGTTAGATGGATTGATACTTTTGTACTAACTCTGATAATGTTATGGGTATTTTTGCTCCTGATCTACGACTTCATGAGTATTTTTACTCTTGGCTGACGACTTCATGGATATTTTTGCCCATTTATTAATCCACGTTAACAATGACTGACACATGACATGCACAATTAACATTTAACAGTCAAAATTAATGGTGTTAGATCAAAGTTAACGGTCTAGTTACTTTTGCACCCATCCATGTAACATTATAAGTATTTTTATCATTTTCCTCACTTTAAGATACTGAGTTTTTATGGCTGACCACTTTGTGAGTATTTTTGCTCATTTATCCTTCTTTAAAATATCTAGTTTAGTTATTTGCATTGGAAACTATTCCATTGATAGAAAAAACCCCACTTAACATATGCACTCAATAGGGAAGAACAATAAATAGGCTTAAATTGCAAAATTGTTCAAAAATGATTGGGGAGAATAACATTTAACTCCCAAAAGTATCGTTTTATTTGAGAAAAGTCTCAATAAATTTTAAAATATAATGTAAGTCTTTTAAGTCCTTAATTAATATTTTTATATAATCTAATCTATTCCCAATTTTAAAATTGGGACAATGAGTTGTAAATTTAACAAGATAAAATTGCAAATTTTGGATACAAAGTTATAAATTTCTAAAAGTATTTAAATAATAATATGTTATTTTTTAAACTTAATCATCAAGATTTGTGTTCCAAGTTAAAATTGAGAAAGCAAGTTACAAATTGAAGATCATAAAATTGCAAGTTTATCTCCCAAATTTGACGTTTTTACAAATTTGCCTTCTAAATTTACAATTTTATCTTGTTGAATTTGTAATTTATTTTCCTCATTTTAATAGGGAACACAAATCTTAATGATTAATTTGAAAATAATCATGTCATTATTTGAACGCTTCCAAGAATTTGCAACCTTGTCTTCTTAGTTGCAATTTTGTTACCTTGAATTTTTAACTCATTTCTTGATTTTAATAAGAAACACAAATTGTATTGATTAAATTTAAAAAGTAACATATTATTATTTAAATACTTCTATTAATTTGCAACTATTTCTTCCATTATGTCTTATTAAATTTGCACCTCGATTTCTCAATTTTAAAATTAAGAACAAATTGTATTATATGAAAATACTAGTCAAGGGCATAAATGACTTACTTTACATTTTAAAATTTGTTAAGGTTTTAGTGAATAAAATAATCCCATTATGATTTAAGTGTCATTTGTAACATTCTAATTTAAATTATGAATTTATTGTGAAAATTGATATTTTGATTGAGGATATATAATTAGGGTTGATATTATCTTGAGGTTTGCTTGAAGTAAATATGGGTAGTTAAGGATTTAATTGAAGAAATGCATGTAGCTGAGGATTTAAGTGAAGAAACATGTATCTTAAGGATTTAAATAAGGATGTATGTTGGTTAAGGGTTATAGATGTTCATTTGTTGCTTAGGCTCTTAATTATGGTTTAAATTGGGCCTAAGATCATATACTAGGGTTATTTGGGGTTTAAAATAGCTACTAGATCAATTTGGGCCCAAATTATTGGGCTTAGGTAGAATTGTTCACCTTTATGTCATAATATTGGTCTACTACAAAAAACAGAATTAGAAGAGGGAGAGTTAAGGTTTGGTGCACAATTTTAAGGCTCTTTGTTAGGGTTTGGTAAGAGCATTGATTTCTTACTTTTTTTTAGCCTCAAATATCTAAGGTGAGCTTATTTAACCTCTTATCTACCTTCTATTCTCCTCTTTAGTCTAGTTTATAAAGAGGTTGGTGATTGGATTTCATTTTTAAGTTTGCATAGCCCTTAAATTTAAATTATAAGGGTGTTTTAAGGTTAGATGATCATCATTTAGGTTGTTTTGATGTTGATAAATGTGGCAGGATAATTATATCTAAAACCCTAGATGTTATGGGCTAACCTTAGGGATGATAAGGACACATTGCGGTTAAATAAGTGCTAAGAGAGTATAATGATGATGATTTCAAGGGTTTTCTAATGTAACATCTCAAAAATTATCTCATTAATTAATTAAGCTAATAAAAGGTAATTATATAACTTTAAGCATAATTGAATTTGGGGATGGACTTAGAGACGGCTAATAAGCCTATTAGGTTTGATTTTAGTCCATAGATGAGGGTCAAAAATGAATTAAGCCATTTGGGCTTAAATTAAAGAGAAAAAAATTAGAATTTGGCCTATTATGCTTTACGCTACAGCGTAATATCAAAAATCAAATTTAAGAGGAAACTTACATGTGCGAAAAGAGAAAGGAAAAAGAGGAGAATAAAGGGGCTTGTGATTCTCTCCATTAGGACATGATTTTGTTGGTGTTTTAGGGAGATCTAAAGCTTTTAATCACTAAAGTAAGTCTCCTTTACCATTCTTCTTCCTCTCTACACTATTTTTAAGTTAAAGTTTGTAGTTGAAGGATGATTTTCAGACCTTAAAAGCTTTGAGTTTGAATCCATTAACTTAAACGGAGTTAATAGAAATTGTTTAAGTTATCTAAGCTTAGAAATAGTGGTTTTATGTATTCATGAGAGTGGATTTTTAATTATGGATGAATTTGTGCATTAAAGTGTCATTAGTGATAACGGTTGGAATTGTTGGAAGGCACTGTTGGTGGTAGATGGGATTAATGAAGTTAGTTAGAGATAATAGGAGTTAATAAACCTAATATGATGATTAAACTCAAGAGTTGAGAGTTTTGGTGAATGAAGTGTTGAAATTTGAGAGTTGAAAGTGAGTAATTTGTGACATTAATGATTATTTTTAGGTTGTTAGATGATATATTAGTAATTATTTAAATTGTTGAGAGCTAAATAAAGTTAATAGGAGTTAAGAAACTCATTGAATGTGAGGTTAATTTTGTAGTTGAGAAATTTGATTATTAAAATATGAAATTAGATGTTGGAAGTGGTGATTTTAATTATTATTAGTGATGAGTATTAATGTCAATTGTAGACTAACTTTATGAAGCACTAGAGAACTTGAATTTAGCTTGAAAGTAAGTGGTAATAAGGGGTAAACATTTAACCTCTTAAAAGTTTGAGGTGGGGCTACATAAAGAACGAATCAAATAAGACTTTGGCCTAACCCGAAGTTTAGTCATTTTCATAGAAAGGATTATTTAAGCAACATGTAGTCTGGTTTGGTCTAGTCCTTACATAACCCAAAACTAAATAAGATCAGATTGATTCAGTAGGATTGGGAGACTGATCCTGGTTTGGTCTAGTGTCTCATTTTCAATATTCATGACTTTACAATGATAAAAAAAATAAATTAACCATGAAATTAAGAATAAATTTATTGTTCACTATTCCACTTCAAAACAATCAATACAATCAACATTTCAATAACAATATTCAAATAGGAAAATGAAACATGACCATCATGATGAATGGAAATGTCTCAACTAGGTGTAGGATTTATATTTCACATTTAAAAAGAATTGCAATCAAAATCAGATAAGGTATTGGCTTCTAATAAAGTAATTGAGAATTTTGAACACATATCAAGATAACTAATCAAGCAAAATAGAATAGAAAGGATCAAAGTAGTCATCAAGAAATGGGATTAGATTATTAAAAATAATACAAGTCATCTTTCATCAATATAAAAGAATTGAAATCATCTTGTTTTTCATTTTCCTTCTAACTGCTCTTAGAGCCAAGAGGTGGTTAAGGAAAATGCTTCATATCTCCTTCCTTTGATATGTGTATTCATGCAAGGGATTAAATAATTTCTTACATTTCTATTCTATTTCCACCTACTTGATTCTATCAAAGAAGCAATGTTTCCAAAAGTTAAGGAAAAAGGTGAAGCAACACATTGTCTTTGGCAAAATTTCT